GGACCGACCTTCACTTCCAAGATTATACAGGTTGGTGATAGCTAAGCACTACGGCAAAAGAGGCAGTGAGTGCACCCATAGGGGGACCAGGGACAGACAATCCTAACACTTACAGTCTGACCTAGGAACTGCTTGAGCAAGTCCAAGACAGACGATCTAAAAGGATAAGGAGTAGTGAGCTAGGGAGAAAAAGCGGGGGGGGGGGGGGGGGGATGAAGGCACTGCTTGTAGAGCAAGTAGCATGGGGAATGTATAACTTTGCATCAGGAAATAGTTCAACTGACAGACTACTGCCCTAAGCAGGGTAATGAACAGGTTCTGCTTCATGACCTGTTTGTCTGTTGAAGTAAGAGGACATTTACTTACTACAAAGCAAGAAGGTTAGTTAAAAGCTATTATTCAAAGTGGCAGACAAGCCAGGCATGGTGCTGCATGACTTTAATCCCAGCACTCAGAGGTAGAGCAACCACAGCTCTGTGAGTTTGAGGCTAGCCAGAACTACATAATCAGACCTGGTCACCAAAAGAAAAAAAGTGAGAGAGACAGTGAAGTATAGAGGGGTGATGAATGGGCTGTACCTCAGCAGCAGAGTACTTACCTAGTATGTTTGTGGCTCCGGATAGGATTCCCAGAGCCTTGGGAAATAGTACAGTCGCCTGAGCATCCAGGAGATGATACAGACAAAGCCTTGAACAGCTCTACAGAATTCTCTTTGTTAATTAGAGTTTTTCTCACAGATACAGAAAGGGTACATAGTCAACAGAGGGCTATTTAGCAATATTTATCAAAATGTAAATATCTTACATCTTGTAGATATACTGTATACTGCATATTCAAAGCTGTTTACTTAAAAACTCTTTTTTATTTTTTGGGTTTTGGAGACAGGGTTTCTTTCTCTGTGTAAACCAGGCTGGCCTTGAACTCAGAGATCTGCCTGCCTCTGCTGGGATTAAAAACATGTATCATTGCCACAGAGCCACTTCCCCACCCCATCCCCATGCTTCCTCCCCATCTTAAAGAACTCTTCGTAAGGAAAAGAATGGAACGAATTCAAAAAGCTATCATAGAAGACAGGCAAAATAAACTATGGCCCAATGAGCATCTATAAAAAGTAGCTAAAAAAAAAAGTCAGTGTGTCCACTTTAATCCCAGCACCTGTGAGGCAGAGGCAGGCAGATCACTATGAATTCGAGGCCATCTAGTCTACAGATGAGTTCCAGGGCAGCCAGGGCTACACAGAGGAACCCTGTCTCAAGAAGAAAAAAAAAAAAAAATTAAGTAGTACTTTTTTTTTTTTTAATCAGGTAAGGAAGGGAAGAGAAAGTGGTGGTTCTTGGGACTACAGAGGGCCTCATGCATACTAGGTAAATGATCTCAGCTCTGAAACAGAAAAAGCAAAAATATATAGTGCATGTGATAAGAAAAGATTGGAACAGATCTTATAGTATGCTGCTTGTGACTTAAGAACTGAAAAATTGATACTCATTTGTGTGTAAGGAAATCTAGTGAGATACAGAAAACTAACGGAATAGTTAGAGCAAGTAACTGTCAACATGCACACCTTGTTACAGGTGGAGTGGAGGCAGGGCTCTCAGGAGTGAGGGCAAGGCAAGAGCTTCAGGACTTTCAAGCCTAAACTACATACTGAAGACTGTCTCAAAAGACAAAGCAAAACCAAATAGATGAACGAACAAACAAACTTAGGGGAAAAGGGGGATTTTCAGATGTAATTCAGTTGGTAGAGGTTTGCTCAGCATGTGTAAAGCCCCAAATGCACTCCTGAGCACTACATGAACCGGAGGTGGCGGTGCACAGCTGTCATCCCCACACCCGGGAGGCGGGGGCAGGAGACTCAGAAAGTAAGTCATTCTTAGCTGCACAACACATTTGAGATCAGCCTTGTTGATGTGAGCCTGTCTCAAAATGTTTGTTTTGTTTTGAGACAAGTCTCACTAGCCCCTGGCTGCCCTCAAACTGTGTAGACCATGGGGGCTTTCATAGAGATCCACCTGCCTCTGTCCCAGTCCTCAGTGGCCAATTACAGTTGTATGCAGACCAAACTCCTCTTAAATAGAAAATTTAAAAATACTGTGAGTGTGTTCATGTGCAGAGAGTGCATGTCTTGGTGAATGGAGATCAGAGGACCATCTGTAATGTTATTCGCCTGACACCTCCTACCCTTTTGAGACGGGCTCTCTCACTGGCTTGCAACTTCACCATGCAGGCTAGGACTAACTGGCCTTCCAGCTCCAGGGATAAAGCTTTGTCTCTGCTTCCCTTTGCATCGCTGCTGGAATTACAAGCGTATGCCACCACCCAGGCTTTTGCCATGGTGACCAAATTCAGGTTCCCACACTTGCCAGCCAAGCTAGCAACTGAGCTTTCTCCCCCAGCTCCTAAACAGACTTTAACACTTAAAAGAAAATTCCTTCAAGCAAGAGTGGTCACTCACGTATGATGCAATCTCAGCGCTTGGGAGGCAGAGGCAAGAGGATTGCCAAAAATTCCACGCTAACCTGGTCTACAGAGTGGCCCTGTCAAAAATAAATAATAAATAAACCCAGGCAAATTGGCACATACTTTTTTTTTTAATTTATTTATTATTTACACAGCATTCTGTCTGCACGTGTGCCTGTGTGCCTGTGTGCCAGAGGAGGGCACCTGATCTCACTACAGATGGCTGTGAGCCACCCCATGTGGTTGCTGGGAATAGAACTCAGGACCTTTGGAAGAATAGCCAGTGCTCTTAACCTCTGAGCCATCTCTCCAGCCCCCAGCACATACTTTTAATCTCACATACAGCACTCAGATGGCAGAGGCAGCCATTCAACAGTGTAACGGAGGCCAGCCCGGGGCTGCTGAGCCTGTCTCACAATACGTTTAAGTCACAGTTCTCTTCCAAAAACAATGCATATCATCACAGAAAATTCCATTTCAGGATATCACGTTCTATTCAGATGTTAAGTGTTTGGGCCTCTATAAATATTAAAACTTACAAAAAAACAACCACCAACCGTCCATAATGGTAAAATACTAAATCTGAGTACGTAGTTTGTAGTTCGTACTATGTGGTTTGGAGGTAACGACTTTGGCGAACCATAATAAGCGAGGCCCTGATTTCATCCCAGCATCGAAAAACCAAAGGGGGAAAAATCTAGACAGAATTGGGCGCGGTGGCCCACCCTTGTAATCCCAGAACTTCAGGAGGCAGAGGCTGGCGGATCTCTGTGGGTTCGAGGCCACCCTGGTCTACAAAGTGAGTCCAGGACGGCCAAGGATGCACAGAGCAACCTTGTCTCGAAAAACAATCTAGACGGGTTTAAGAGGTTTCTTATTATGGCGTTTCCTACTTAAAGGGTGATAATATTAAGATCCTCAAGGGGTAAAACCTTATTTTGTAAACCATGTCTTACCGGATCTGCTCCATGGCTTCCCACGTTAATGTCCTGGGTGGAGCACCGGGACCCTCCATTTGCCTTCGAATTTTCTGCCATCGCATCGCTTTTTTCTGTCGTTTCAGAGTGCTGGGGGAAAGAACGGATAGCAGAGGCCATGCGTGGGAGCGAGACGGGTGTCTACGGAGTCACGGAGAGCCCAGCCCTCTCGCCTGCCCGCAAAGGCAGCCCGGCCGCGTCGGCCAGGTTCCAGCTCTCTGCACACCGCCCCGGGGTCCTAGCCTGTACCACACCCGACCGCAGGCATGCCGAACTCTCTAACGGGCGGTGAAATGCGTCACCAGCAGCGGGACCTGGCGGCTCAAGGTTGCTGACCACTTGCCCCCGCGCCCTCGGGTGAGAAGAAACTAGAGGCTCTGCGGACGCGGCGACAGGGCGTCCGGGCACGGGGAGCACTGCCGGGAGCGCCGGGGTGAAGCCTAACCTCGGGCCGAGGGCCCGCCGAGGAGCAGCTACCTCTCCACCTCCTGGAGCGCCCGCTCCTCCGGCTCCCAGTCGGAATCCGAGTCCGGCTCGCGGCCGGCGGAACCCGGGCCCGCCATGCCCCGGCTCGCGAACCCACAGCGAGCGACAGCGGCGCGGACACGAGGAAACAGGAGGCTCAGGGAAAGGGCCATGGCGACGCGACGCGAGACAGCGCTCCGCAGCTCCCGACCGGAAGGCACCGGAAGAGGGGAGGCGGACCCGGAGGCAGAAGGGAAGAACCGGAAGTTGGGCGGTATAGTGACCGTTCGGTTTACCGGATGGGCGGGGACTGTCCTTGTACTGTCTAGTTACCCACCCTTTTTTGCTTGGTTCCCTTTTGCGGGGCTGGTGAGCCGCGCTAGGGCCTTGTACATGCTAGGCGAGCTTCTGCCACTGAGATATCTTACTAGCCATTAAAAAAAAAAAAAAAAGCTTTGAGATGGTCTGAGTTGTCCTAGCCTTGAATTCATCATTTTGCCTCAGCTTCCCAAGTAACTATGGTTATAGGCCTGAGTCACCAGGCTGGGCTTCCCTACTGAAACTGAGAAGAGCTGGCTTCAGACGCGAGGATCGAAAGGAGGTACAGGAGGCGCCTAGAAAACGACATAAACTTTAATAAAAAGACGGTTCAATTTCCTCTGGCACAGGCTGCCCAGGCCTGTCTGATTCTGCCACTGTGGCAGGAAGGGCGAACCCTCAGCAGTCTTCTGATGGCGACTACACCATACCTTGGGCATTTGACTCCTCTGGGAAAGGAATTCCTTGTTGCTTAGTGACCTCTAGCCCCAAGCCACACCCAGGGTTCAGACCCATCCTTTTAGCAATAAACCCAGCCTAAGGCTTGATAAGCAGAGATGCATACAGGCTGGCCTTAGCCCTTCATCTTTTAGTCTTTACCGATCCCCAAAGAATCTTAGAATGTTGAAGAATTCTTGATGCCTTTGTTTTTTGCCTTTTGCAAGCAACGGTCCTGGCCAGAGCTTTTCAAACTGGAACTTGATGGCAGTCTTTCAATTAGCAAAGATTGAAGGCCCTTTACTCTTGGTTGAGTGCTGGGCTTCCCTTCTTTTACCTGTGTTGGATGATGTTAAGGAGCGGGCTGGAATGCTACAGCATTGGTGCAGAGGCTGGGCATAGGGTGAGGTTCCCATTGGCTCCTCTGTGTTCAGAGTTTACCACGGAGGGCTCGGTCCATGAGTCACTTTCCTGTCTTTCGGGATGCAGAAGATAGCCCTGCTTTGGGGTTAAAGTGGATGGCACTGATCCAGTCAGGGCTCGGTTTATGGCTTCTAGCCTTCTGCTGGCTTGGCCTTCTGCAGTAGAAACATGGATCCCTACTAAGTTGTAGTATTCACAGAAGAGATGTTCTCACCTCTTTCCCACCTGTGGTCCAGTTACACGGAAGAATAGCATCCCATGCTACCCTCCAGGATCTGTATCACACTGTATTTTAATTAGTCTGTTTACACATCCATTTCCCTGTTAACTTCTGTTGAGGGCTGGGACTGTTTCTGCCATGACTATCACCAGGGTCACTAGATAGAAGGAAGTAAATAAATGGGGTCCACTGCCTTCCCCCATTCCTCCACTACCAGGATTGCCACTTTATATCTTGGAAGCATCCCAGCCGTAACACTTGCTACTGGGAATTTCTGTCAGTCAAAAGTGACCAAAGCTAGTTTTGTATACTTACGGCTAGTGAGCCTGACTCTAGAGCTGGAAAAAGAGTGCTTCCCAGACTTCTTCATTGACACTGAACAGGGACCAATGGCTGCTGAATCTCCTATCCCGTTGAAGTTCCTGGACTGCAGATGGTACCGGGGATGCTGTGCAATTGCGGGATTGATGCTTGATAGTGGCCCTAAGATCCTGGGGATCAATTCGTGGGGCCGGAGTGGTTGCAGGAAATGAGGAGGGACCTGCTCTGAGGCAGCCCCTCTCAGGAACACCAGTGGGACCAAATTCACAGGTTGCAGTTCTTGACTGCCCAGCCCGTCCTGGTGAAATCTAGGCTAGAGGAGAAGAGCAGCCCCTTACCATATTTCTTGTGAGGCTGGGTAGAGTGTTGGAAGAAATATATAGCTAAAAAATAAAAAAATTTCTTCCAGGCCATAGCCACTGTTTTAACTAGTTATTCTTTCCAGGTTCAACAAAAATAGAGGGCCCAACAGGTCGGCTACTAGCCAGTGAAAACGGCAGCATCTGTTTTGTTGGCCCGCGATTGTTTAGTGGCTCCCACTGGAGCCGGGGCACTGGCAGTGCTAGGGTGATTACACAGAAGCCACTGAGCATGGTGGTAGCCTTGTTATTTGTCAGTCATGAGTTGTGGGTTACTGTGAAACAGGAATAGAGACAGCAAGTCTCTGGCAATTGAGAAAGGTGGGGGCTGCACTTTGCTGGATTGTGACACCAAACCCAAGGGAGCCTGGGAACAGATGTCATGGAACCAACAGACCCTCTCCCAGGCTCCAGTGACAGATACCATCACATAAACCTCTTTTGGTGGAGCCACCACCACGTGTTGGCATCACAGCCCTTGTTCCCTGGCTTTGTGACAGGCTTTGCAGGGACCCTCACCCGATACTCATGAAGCTTTCTGTGGCCCCGGTGGCTGGGGTACAGCATGCGGGTGAGCTGCTCTACAATACCCAGGCTTCTGATGAGATTCTCTCTTTGTAACAGGAGCTTCATCCGCTCAAGCTCTTCCTCTTCTATAATGTCCTGAGGCTGCATAGTGTCCAGGTGTACTGGGAGCAGCTACAAGGTACAGGAGAGATACAGGATGTCCAAGATGAGTCTCACACCATCAGCAAGGATGGCCGCAGGACCCCTGCCCACTGTACCCCCTCCTCTCCCCAGGTCCCACTGTAAGACCCCCTTAGCTGTCCATTCTCTCACCTTCTGTTCCAAAGGTCAGATCCACTTTACTAGTTAGAGACTTATCTCTCTCAAGCAAGGGGAGAGAGGACAGCAGGGGTTCCCTTCTCTAGTAGCCCCAATTTAGTTTCATGTGAGGAGATAAGAAACACAGCCCCTGACACCTCTTTGTCCCGGTTCCGGCTCCTGTAAGGCAAGTTGGTGGCAAAGCACCGTGTCATTGCTCTGGCACGGCTTTTCTCCCCAGCTGATTCACCCTGGTTCTGGTCCTTGTTTTCCTTTCGCTTCTTGGTGCCTGGGTTCTCCTGCTGTTCCTGCTTTAGGCGAATCTCTTCTAGTTGCTGCCTGACAAGACACAGCAGTTTCAGACAGTGAAGAGACTGTGTGGGAAAAATGGAGGGTGAGGGAAAACAGGATGGGCTAATAAAAGGAAATCATGATGTGTTGCTGGAACTGATTAGAGCATATAGGAAAGAATCATTAAGAATCTGTTAATGTCCCCGCAGTCTAGGAGGCAGAGACAGGCAGATCTTTCTGAGTTCTAGGCCAGTCTGGTCTACAGAGCAAGTTCCAGGACAGCCAAGGCTACATACACAGAGAAACCCTTTCTCAGAAGAAAGAAAAAAAAAATCTGTGGGTGGACTGGGGTGATAGCTCATGCTGTAAAGTTGTTGCCCTGAAGGCAGGAAGTCAGTCGACACCTTTGGTCCGGGCCACACAGCTAATGTATGGACTCACCACTGTATTTTCCCCACCCCATCCCTTTGCTCAACCTGTGTCCCCTGTTGGACTTGCTCTCTATGTTTCTGACCCTAAAGCCTGTTATTATGGCTGTCTCCTTGAACTCAGGTTCAAGCCCCAAGACCTGTGGGGGGGGGGGGGGGAAGCCAGTTGTAGTAGCATATTCTTGTATCTCAGAACTGGGGAGGCAAAAATTAGGTAAGTCCCTGGCCAGCTAGCCTAGTCTACTTGGTGAGTTTCAGGCCAATGAAAAATATAAAGGGGGCCAGATATGGTAGCACACACTTCTAGTCCCAGCACTTGGGAAGCCGAGGTCTATGAAGTTGAGGTCAGCCTCATCTATACAGCAAGCTCCAGGCCAGTCAAAGCTATACACTGAAACCCAGTTTTAAAAACACAGAACTTTAAAAAAAATAATAAAGAATAATAACAAAACTGGGCATGGTAGCACACGCCCGTAATCCAAGCATTTGGGGGTGGGGCAGAAGCAGGCAGATCTCTGTGAGTCTGAGGCCAGCCTGGTCTACAGAGCGAGTCCAAGACAGCCAAGGCTACACGGAGAAACCCTGTTTCGAAAAGCAAAAGACAAACCAAACAAACAGACAAAGAAGAACAAGCAAGTGAGAGTGGCACGATGTGCTCAACTGGTAGAGGTGCTTACAACCAAACCTGACCACCCGGGTTCATTCACTGGAGCCCGCTCGGCGGAAGGAGTCAACTGACTCCCTCCCCAAAGATCTTCTGGCTTCCACATGTGCACGAGGTACACACTCTCACAAAGAAATAAGCGCAATCTTTACATATTTAAAAACACACAAAGCAAGGTGAACAGCTAAGGAACAACACTGGAGGTCGTCCACCGGCCTCCACATGCATACGTGCGCACACATATATTGCATACAAATACGTGAGTGAAGGCGTGCCTGTGCATGCCTGCATGCAGAGAGAACCTGCCAGGGAGCAACTCAACTTCAGGATTTGCCCCTCACCCACCTGGACAGAAGAAAATGCCGCCAAGGGTACCTGGCACACTCCTCTCTGGCCTTGGAGGCAGCAGTCTCCTGGAACAGGGAGCCATTGTGCTTGAAGAAGGGCGCGTATTTGTCTGAATCAGGCCCGGGGTAGATCCGCCGGTATCCCCCCAAGTGGGAATCTTCATAGCGTTCCTGGTCCTGCATGGCGGCCTGGGATGACTCGATTTGTTCTCGCCTATGGAAACCAAGCTCAGGGAAGTCAGAGGAGGGAGAAAATACCAGCCAAAGCATTCAGAACCTGCCGCTGGCTGCCTGGTCTTCCTGAACCATGCCTGTGGAGAGACGCACCCAAGCTCATGGCCAGCCCCACCATATATCATCAAATTAGTGTGGTTCCCAGAATTCTGATTCTCTGCCTGTGTGCAGAATGACCTATTCATGAGCAGACATCCTAAGTTACCACAGTCTTTTCTATTCCTGATTGTAAGTGTAAGACCCATACACTACAGAAAATGTGAAAGGAAAGGATTAAACTGGATGGATTAAAGGTTTGTAATCCTAACACTGGGAAGGCAGATGTCGGAGGAGCTAGAGTCCAAAATCAGCCTCAGTTCCATAGAGAGATCAAGGCCAGATCGTCAGCGTCAGAAAAGGTGCTACCAGGCCAGGATGCAGCACAGCGGTAAAGCATGCGCTTCTCACACGTGAGGCACACAGTTCATACCCAGACTGTGAAAAAGAAAGATGCTTATATTTTAAGTGTTTGTCCATTTACTTGAGACAAGATCATGCTAAGTGGCTCAAGCTGGCCTCGAACTCATGATTCTCCCAATTCCACCTCCTGAGGGCTAGGATATAGTCCCATGCCACTGCACCGGGACTCCTTTATTTCTTTAGTCCAGCGTCTTCCATCCACTTTCCCCCCGGAAGACAGGATTCATTCCCTCCGGAAGCCAGCCAGGCTTTTGAGAGTATTCAGGGTGCTTAGAATTATCCTTCACTCCCATTCACCACACTAATATCTGAGTGCCTGCCATGTGCCAGACCTTAAGGCTATTTTGAGGAATCAAATATACTTTGCCTCTGCATATCAAGATGCAAATAGAGAAAAGCAGTGTCATTATCCAGCCATTCAACTCAACCTTATGTCTCATTAGCAAATTACAAATTCAGTATCATCAACCAGTTATGTTTGTAACCTATTTTATAGTGAAAATAATGGGTAACAACTCAAACTATTTCCTAATAAGCAACTGAACTGTTTCCTATGTGTTATTACTACAAGAATTATCAGGAATTGGTTTCTAATTGAGCTTTATTAGAAAACAAACTAGTTTCCCGCCACGGCTCAGGCACTTTTGTGGAAGAGGGGAATAAAGATCATAAGAGCTAGTAAAAAATAAATAAATCACTAGTGCAGTCAATACTCCAGTTTGGGGGCGGGGGGACTCACAAGCCCCGATCCCTGGATGAGAAACGACTCCCAGCTGATGCCTTCTGGAGAGAGGGCGAGTTGGTTCCCTTTAAGAGTGTGGCACTGACGCTCCAGGGGACGGCCCCACTCCAGGGGGTATAGAGACAGCACAAATAGCCTTGGTACGTTATTAAAAAGGGAGAAGAGACAAGGAGTTGGAAGGATAGATCTGGGAGGAGTTGAGAGTTGGAATTGGGGTGGGCTGAATATGGTAAAAATACATTTTATGGATGTATGAAATTCTGAAAAATAAATAAAAATATAGTGTTAAAAAAATAGCTTGGAGTTATGGTGCATCATTAGTTCAAGGCCTGCCTGGGCTACATAGGAGTTCCACCCTGAACTGTATCTATCAAGAACCTATGTCAAAAAATAAATAACAGAACAAAACAACCCCCCAAGCAGCTAATCACACTAGAGAGTTCCTTGTGTGCCTTGTGAAGAAAGCTACAGAGTGTGCCTTATGCAACAGTCTGGTAGACAAGGAGAAAATATTTTTGTATAAACACATTTAGACTTTTAAATGCTTGTGCAAATATAAAGATGACAGTAGTGATGTGGTCCAGCTGAAAACTGATTGCTGCAGGAGAGGGACATGAAAGACCTCAATGTATTTTTTTAAATATGTCTCTGTAATATATTATATATTATCTATGCCAAAAGAAGTGTTTGAAAGCTAATCAGCTCCTTGTAGCCTTCTCCTTCTTTTATGAAAGGAATAACAAAGAAGTTAAATTGCACAACTAAACACCTACTAGGTAGGACCTTCGAGGTGGCTCAAGGGATAATGGCACTTGCAGCCAAGCCCAAGGACCTAAGTTCAATTCTCAGGACCCAACAAGGAGAGAACCATCTCCCACTTGTCCTCTGACCACAGGTCTGGCCTGGCACACGTGCAGAAACACAAACACACACACATCAAAAAAGAACTAGATAAACTCGTACCATATTAGCTTAAAAATAAATAAACTGGGCACCAAGACGCACACCTTTAATCCCGGCCACCATGAGGCAGAGGCAGGTAGATCTCTGAGAGTTTGAGACCAACCTGGTCTACATATCTAGGTCCAGGCCAGCTAGAGACCTGTCTCAAATAAACAAACATCTGTCAGATACCAGGCACACCTGACTTCTCGTGGCTGTTGGTGGCATAGGAAAAGCCTTTCCTTGACTCGACGCTTGTCTTCTTCAATCACCTTCTTTTTGTCACAGCCCCGGAGGTTGACGAGGTTCATGGCGTCACAGAGAAGCGCATCCTTCACCTCTCGATCCAGGCGGGAGTCTGTGGTGAAGCTTGGGGAGTGGTTTACCTGCCGAGAGGAGTCCTTATTGCCCCTTTCCTAGACCACCTGAGCAGGTGGTGGTCTGCAGCTCTAACTGCAGGCCTGGAGACAAACAGCTCCGGCCTGCGGCCCGAGCCGACAGCTGAGAGGAGATTTGCCCAGTTTGCAGGCTAGTGAGCGAAAAACAGACAACTCGACTGCAGAAACTGGGTCCTCAAGGGCAAGGCTTACTCCAAAAGCACTGGAGAAGCCTAAACATGGGTTACTGTGTTTGCTTGCTTGCTTGCTTTTCTTGGGTGTCTGAGATAGGATTTCATAGAATCCAGGCTAGCCTCAAATTCACCATGTTAGCTGAGGCTCATTCTGACATCATGATCCTCCTTCCTCCATTTCTCAGGCACAGAGATCACAGGCATGTGCCCCCATGCCCAGTCTGAATTGCTATTGTAGAGGTCAAAGACTATCACTCTCTGTCGCAGCAGATGATGGAAGTCTTACGCTTTCGCTCAGTTCTTGCCCACCCTGAGCCTTCTACCTCCTCATCCCCCCTCTTCTGCCATGTAAGTGTAGTCCTTCCCAGGCGAGGCCTGTTGCCTTTGACCTTGTCAGGTCCAAAGAAATCTTACCTCTAGAAGCCAGGGCTTGAGCTTGTGGTCCAGTAAGATGTCAAAGCCCAGGATCTCAAAGCAGGCGCATGTGCCTCCACACAGGTATTGGGGGAAGCAGGTGCGATAGTTGTGACGAAGAACAGAGTGGGCTGAGATGATGGTTTTGATGATGATGTCTTCGATGTCCCCCCACATCTCTCGGGGGTCATAGCTGTGTTCTCGCAGCCAGGCATTGAGTGTCGACAGCTTCCTATGAGGCCCAGTGCTCAGGGGAGGACCAATTTCCATGCCAGCAGGACCTGGCTGCAGGCAGGAGGCTCCCTGACTTTAACCCCAATTCCATGTCTGGGACCCTGGGCTGGGAGCTGGGATCAGTTATCAGGGCTCTAGGTTATTGAGCCTACGCTTAAGAGCTCAGACACAGAGATTCCTGGGAAATGAGCTTCCCAGGTACCACTTGGGTTTCATGGGCTTCTGAGACTTCGAGGGGAAGAAGCAGGGGAAAACAGAATAGGGGATACCTCTTGCTGCCCACGGCATCATCTCGGACAAAATTCTCGTTGTGTTTATTGATCGCGTAGTTGGTCAGGTGCATGCAGACCTCCTCCTGTGGGGTGAATGACACTGCATTGGGTCATGCTGCCTCTGCCTCTCCGGCCCTTCAGCGACTTCTCATCACCCACTGCTTTGCCCCAAGATTGCTCATCTCCTGGCCCTCTTCACCAGGGACTTTTCCTGCATGGTCCTGGGAAGGAGGCTGGGCTGGAGAATTCCATTAGAAACCTTGCCTTGGCCACCACCCAGTAAGCACGCCCCCAGGGACTACAGCTCCCACTGACTTCCTTCCTCGGTCTTGGCTGACAATGACAAACTTTTCTGCCATGTTTGTGCCTAGAGCCATGGCACTCACGGCGACGGAAGAGAAGAGAGTGCCACCCCGCCTCCTCACCAGGTTGTTATGGCTAGGTTCCACATATGGCATGGTGGCAAAACGGGCCAGGCCTTCCTCATACATGAAGATCCGGAGAGGGTCACAGGAAGTGATCAGAACATAGATTCGCATGTCAAACTTGAAGCCATCAATGAGGAAGGGCTAAGAGCATGCAAACCCAGGGGGAATACTAATGAACTTCCGAAGTGCATATTACATGCAATACATGGTTATTAAAGGTGCTTCCAATACGTAAAACGCTGAATCCTCACAATAAGCGTATCAAGCAGTTACTGTTATTATTCTCATTTAACAGTGAGGAAACAGAGCCAAGGAAAGGGTCAGATAACTGCCCGGAGATTGTATGTCTGGGAAATGGGAAAGCTGCGAGTCGAACCCAGGCTGCCTAGCTCTAAACAGTGGCTACCGTCTGTCTGTAAGACAACGAAGACAGCAAAGAGGGCAGGAGCCTATAATTGACTTCTGGCCCTGGTATATGAGGGATGTGGCATCCTAGTGTGGGGACAGGCCTGGGGGTTCCGAGGTGGCCTTCACCTTGGTGATGTACTGCTGGCAGATCATATGCTCTCCTGGCTTGATTTCCTTGGGGGTTCTGGTGATAAAGATGCCACGCCCCTGACAGCCGCTATCTGGCTTGCAGATATAAGTGCGGGTTTTCCGCTGACGACCGTAGGCCTGGAACTCCCCATAGCTACATGCAGAGAGAGGCTGGTCAAAGGGTTTCTGTGCATCCTGACTGTCCTGGGACCCCCATGGCCAGCTTCTTGTTATCTATTTCCAGGCTGTTCCTGGTGGACTTAGCCTCGGACCCACTTTGCTTTGGCCAACTGAAACTTTCTTTTTTTGAGACAGTCTCTCTTTGTAACCCTGGCTATCCTCTACTTGCTATGTAGTCCAGGCTGGTCTCTAACTTAGAGAAATCCGCTTGCCTCCTCTGCCTCCCGAGTCCTGGGATCAAAGGCCTGAGCCACCACTCCCGGCCAGCTGAATCTTTCATGGTCCTGTTCCAACCCTCTGAAACAAGCCTACAAGACTACAGAGAGTGAGTCCTCATTCTGCCCCCAGGATCTAGGCTCACTCACTCTGCAGGGAGGCACCAGGTTCGTGGGAAGATGTGATACTCAGTAGGGTAGAGCTTCTGCATGCGGTTGAGGTTCCGAGCCAGCAGGTCTTTGCGGCAGATTTCTGTCATGCCAGGGAAGTGGTTGATTTTCTGAAACAGAGCCAGTTTGTTATACTGTTCCCCCCAGTAGCAAGTGGCAGCTCCCAGGACCTGGGCATCCCAGGAAGCCATAGAAGGGGTCTGGGAAGGAAAGGAAGATGTCAGAGTGGGTGGCAGCACTGTTATTGAGTCAGCAAGGGCGAGACAGGAAGCTTCCAAGAGGTGGGTGAGAAATCCCTCCATGGCCTCTCCCCAGCACAAATCTACACACACCAAGGCTGCAAAAAGGAAAGACAGCTGGAAAAGCGTAGACTAGCCAGGACCTTGTGCCCTCCAGCCACCTCCTCACACCTCTCAGCAGTTCACCAGATAATGATGCTGTCAGTGGTTCTAGGTTCAATTCCCAGCAACACACACACACACACACACACACACACACACACACCACACCACACCACACCACACCACACAGGGTTTAAAAGAGGAATAATGATACATGATAACACAAAGAAATAATAAGAATCACATTTCCTTGAAGACACAAAGGAGCAAAGAAAACTGAGTTGAGTGTAGAGAATGCACACCACCGAACCCAGAGGCCACACACTGAGAGCTGGTGTCTGCTGGAGGCCCTTAGCTGTTCCTCCCTGCAGGAATGGCAGGCAGAGTGCAGGACGGCTGAGCGTGCTCAGCAGTCCTCAGTCGCTAGCTGTGCAAACCCTGTGTCCTAGTCTTCCTGTCCTCTCTCTAACAAACGGCATCTGCCATTCAGGGATGTTAAGGATTTCATAAAGAAGCAATATAAAAACACCTAACGGCATTTGACCAGTTGCAGAGGAATCCCTCAGTGGAAGCTGTTCATTACCGTTAGCTAGTGGCCATCACTGACAGCTGCTCCCTGCACACCCCGGCTTTGAGGCTTTGAGGCTTCTCCAGTCTTTACGGTAGTTGCTCTCTCCTAGCTTCCTCCTTTAAGACTAGGTGAGGACAGGTTACAGTGTCCTGGACTCCTTTCCTAGATTCCCTGAACGAAGCCTACAGACCCTTTTGTGCTGCATAGTGACATTTCAGTTAAGGACAGACTACATGCCTGATAGTGGTCCTAGCAAACTTTATCACCCAGTGACATAGCAGACATTTGTTCAGTATGATGCTGAAATCACCAACCAAGCCACTCCTTGCAAATATATCCTTGTCAGTAAGCCACACATGACTTCGCCACACACAATGACACACTGTCTTGTTTTTTTGTTGCTGTTGAGCCAGGGTCATGATATATAGCCCAAGATAGATAGCCTCAAATACTTCATCGTCTTGACTCAGCCTGCTGGGATTACTGTCTTGTATCTCCATAGCATGCCTAGCCCCATGCATGTATTTCTGGCTGGCCCTCTCTCTCTCCCATCTCCCTTCCCTGTTGGGGAGTTGATTTTTTTTTTTTTTTTCTTTTGAGCCTGGATGTATGTAGAATGGCCTTAGGCTCCTCTTGATCCTTGTTTTCACCTCCCAAATGCTGGGATCACTTGTGTATTTTACCACACGTGGCTCTTTGACATTATCTCTCAGCAACCTGGCATCTACTTTCTTGGTAGCTGTGTGATGCTAAGCTGCTTAGATACTATTCAGTTTGCCTAAGCACTAGTCCCCATTTTTTTTTGGATACTGGAAATTGAACTCAGTGCCTTGTGCATACTAGGCAAGCACTCTAGCACTGAGCACTGGGCTACGTCCCAAGCCTTCTGCTGTTAGCTCTAAAGCAGCTTTCCAGTCCTTGCCCGGAGATGGGCACACATGCTCTCCATGAGGCAGGCAGGTTCCTCAGATGCCACCAGTGTGAACTAATAATGTGACAGGGATGCCCACCAAACACTTCAGATAACAGAAGCTCCAGAGAGCCAAGAGGAGACTATTTTTATTGGAGGCCCGGTGGCCTCCATGTCTAGAGAAGTTGCAGCCTTGGAAAGGGGAAGTCTCGGAGTGCCAGGGGCAGACAGGGTGGGAATGTTCATTTTGGATGTTGGGCCAGGACGTTGGTACCTGAAACCTCTTCATGTCCATGACTCGTTCCAGTGAGACAGAACAGTCTGTCCAGTACACAGTCCACTCTTCATCCTCTCCTACCTCCTTCAGGCCACACATTTGGGCTGCCCGGCGCACTGTAGAGACAGGGAGGTTAATGCTGCCAGCCGAGGCACCAGCCAGGAACTCTAGCCGCATGGAAGAAGGAATGACCTGACCGACTGCCGACTGCAGGGGCGTGTGGCTCTTACCTCAGCATCTTAGTTACCAGGTCGTGATTCCAAGTTCATGAGGCTAGCAGAGAAAACAAGGGCCAGACAGAAGCCCTGCTGCTCTGGGTCAGGACTGTGTGGGTATCCGATGACCCTCAGTCTGGGGCGCACTGCCACCTAAGACTCTGAGTGAATCTTTATACAGATGTCAGTGAGGAAGGATGAAAGCCCTAGCTGGGGATATTACTTACATGATTAAAGCCCCGTGAAAGTCTCTCAGAGGGAAAACGTGGTTTGTGTTTTTGAGGTGTCGGAGATTAGAACTAGGGCTTTTTTGCACAGCAGGCAAGCCCTTTACCATTGAGTTATATTCTCGACCCTTCAAAAGCAGCTTTTTTTTTTTTTTTAAAGATTTTAATGATTTTTAAACATGTGTATGTGGGTGGGCACATTTGCCAGATCATGCATGGGGAGGTGAGAGGACAATTTGCAGGAGTTTCCTTCTACCGTGTGGGTTCCCAATATTGAACTAGGGTTGTCAGCCTTGTTGATGAGTGTGTTTATAGAATGAGCTGTGTCCCTAGCCCCAAAAGCAGTAACTTTTCCTTATGTTCCTTTTTTGAAGGGTAGGGCAATGGTGACATTCAGTCATTTGTTTGTTTGTTTTTTACAGGGCCTCTTGTAATCCAGGCTATCTATGTAACCAAGAAGAACATTGAACTTCTCATCCTTTTGACTGCATTTCCCAAATTCTGGGATTAGTGGGGTGCTGAGCATCAAATCTAGGGCTTCAGGCATGATAGACAAGTAGTCTATCAATGAGCTATTCCCTCCGTCACATTTTTCTTTTATTATTTATTATTATTACTTTTTTTTTTTTTTGAGACAAGGGTTTCTCTGTGTAGCCCTGGCTGTCCTAGAACTCACTCTGTAGACCAGGCTGGCTTTGAACTCAGAGAGCCTGTCTCTGCTTTCTGAGTGCTGGGACTAAAGTATGTGCCGCCACCACCTGCAACCACTTTTTTTTTTTATGCTTATCATCGTATATCTACACCTATGTCTATTTTTTTGGGGGGTCAGGGTCTCATTATGTAGCTTTGGTTGTCCCTTGCTCTGTAGCCCAGGCTGACCTGGAACTCACAGAAATCTGCCCGCTTCTGCCTCTCACATGTCTGGCTTGTGGTTTGGGGGTTTGGTTCGGTTATGGGAAGGGGTGTTGGCCAGGTGACTGTGGAGATGTCCTCCCTACTGATACTAACTGCAACATCTCAGCTGTCAGGAGCTAAGCCTGGGGATAGAAGGGAGTCAGGGGCTGGAAGAAGGGCTGTGAGTGTCCCAGGAATAAGAGCAACAGTCCCTCTTGCACAGGCAGCCGTGAGTGATGAGCTCCGTGCTTACCACTCTCATACTTGCAGTTGGTCAGATTGATGGCCAGGACCCTGAAATGGAGAGATAATAGAAATCAGGCAGAGAGGAGGGAAGAACAGGCTCCAGGCTGCCAGGAGCCTGGGTTCCTGGGCAAACTTAAAATACAAACACATTTTCTCTAGAAGCACTTTTTTCCTCCCCAGAGACAGGGTTTCTCTGTGTAGCCCTGGCTCTCCTAGACTTTGTAGACCAGGCTGGCCTCAAACTCACAGAGATCCACCTGCTTCTGCCTCCCTGAGTGCCGGGATTATAGGTATACACCACCGTGCCTGGCTTCTAGCATCTTAAACTTCTTAAGCATCTTTAAGCATCTTAAATACCAAACCAACATGCAAAAATTCCAAGCTGGGCAGACCCAGATGCTCTGATTTTTTTTTTTTTTCTGTTTCAGCAAAGTTTAATATTACTTCAGTCTTTCTTTTTGAATTTTCTAGAGAGGATTTCTCTGTATAGCCCTGGCTGTCCTTGAATTTGTTCTGTAGACCAGACTGGCCTTGAACTCAAAGATCCATCTGCCTCTGCCTCCAGAGTGCTGGGCACAAAGGCATTTGCCACCACAGACAATTTTTTTTTTTTAAATGTGAGCATTGTGGATTCAAACTCAAGGTCCTCATGCTTGTGAACCAAGCTCTCTTCTCCAACTGAGCCATCTGTCTCATCAGCCCATTGTTACTTGGTTTTTGAGTGAGGGTCTCATACTGCAGTGCATGCTGGTCTAGAGCACAGTAATCTTTTTTGTCTCAGCCTTCCTAGTGCTGGGATTATAGGCACACCCCACCATCTGGCTCTCCTCTCCCCTCCCAAAGGCTAAGGTGAAAGCTTAAACCCCACCTTTTGGTGCTCCCCTACCAAATGACGGTGTGAAGCCAAGGGGTAACTCTCTAGTTAGACTTGTGGGGCATCTTGTGGGAAAACTTACCTTCGTTTTCTCTTTCTCTTCCTCCTCCCGACTTCCAAATCATCAATGTTGGTTATACTTATGGTTTTCTTAGGAACTTTCTTGGCTACAATAGATAAAGCAACTTCATTTTCATGTTCTTTATAGTCAGGCTTTGCAAGTGCCTGCTGGGAAGCGTTTGGGCTGGTAGCTTCCTCTCTAACGCACTCTTCCTCAGACTCCTCTTCCTCAACATAGTCTTCCTCAGATTCACTGGTCTTACAGGTATTGGGCTCCATCCTCTTAGATTCTAAGGGAAGAGGAATGAGAGTGAAATATTTGTCAGACCTCTTTCCAGGCCCAGGAAGCCCTGCAGGAATTCACCTAGAGCCCCTTTCCGGTGCTAGAAGGAAACGTTGCCCTTCCATACCAGTACTACTGTAAAATAGGATGTTTCCAAGTAGAGGGTTGTGGGGAGAATGAGGTGCTTGTAAGATGGAAAGCCCTTAACGAAAAGACCCCATCCTCCAGGATCACCCTGTGTTATTCAACACACTACAATGCATGCAGTACAGAGCTTGGTAGGAGCCGCGACGGCGGCCGCTTTGTTTCCTGAATGGGGAAAAAGAGGTGGCTGACAGAACTGGGAGACTCTTTGCTTTAAAATACCAATGAAGGTAAAAGGCTACCGGGCCGGCGACTTCCCTGAGCCAGGGTTCAGTTTCCCTATGTGAACACTTTGGGGTCGGGTATCTGAGGGCTGAGACCATTTGGGCTATGATAGAGGAAAGGAAACCCACGGCAGACACTGCCCACCCGAGGTTTCGAGGAGAGCTCAGGGGCTGCTGGAGCTGCCCCTAGCGGCCCGGGGCTGGACTCAGCTGGTCGCTCATGGCAGCCCCTCGCTCGCTGAGGCTCTTCCTGGGCGTTGCTGGACGTCGGGGACTGTCTCTTCGTTCCACAGGACTGTCTGTCCCCGCTGTCGCGAGGGGGAGCCCGCTCCCCCTCGGGGTTAACTTCTAGCTCCGAGATCCTGGCGGCGGCGGCGCCTTCTTAAGCAAGCCGACGGCCGCCGCCGCCGCGGTCGCTATGGACACGAAGGCGGCCCCTAGCGTTCTGGGGGCGTGGCCTCCCCGGCAACCACGCCCACTTTGGAGCCAGCCGAAGCCACGTGGGCCCCGCGCCGTCTGCGTTCGTCGAGGTCCGGGTGCGTAGGTGCCGGTGAGCGAGCCCGTTAGGGCGGGTTCGTAACTTCTCTATTCCACCTTTCCTGGGATCTCTTGGCCAGGCCAAACAAGTCTGCATTTGGGACAAGTAGCTGCTCGTGTTTCTTCTGCATTTCAGAAATGGTGCTACGAAAAAAAATTCCCGCCCTCAAAAGGGACGGCAACGAATAAAACGCATGCCGTCCGTGGCTTTCACCCCGAGGAGCCGAAACAGTTCCACTGGCCAGTTACAGAATGAGGCCAGCAAGGTGGCTCAGCGGGTAAAAGTGCTTGCTGACAAGCCAAAGGACTTGAGTTCGACCTACGGAACCCATATGGTGGAAGAAGAAATCCAGGACAACAGTAAATTGTCCTCTCACCTCTGTCTACATCCATACCTTGGTATGGTGCCCACCACAAAACAAATAAATACTTTTTTAACTTAAAGAAAAGGAAACAACAGTGACCTCATCCAATAGCTCTGTCATTTTCACCTTCTTACACCTGAAACTCCCCTACCCCTTCGAATTCCACTAGCTTCCTCCGCCAAACCCAACCCAACTTGTAATTCAGATTATTTTGTGTGGCAAAATCCAGAAAAGAAGCGAATATTTTTGTTGTTGTTGTTGACAAAAAGACAAACACTGCAGAAGGTACATAGATACTAATATCTTCTGCTTACTCGGTAGTACTGAAAATTTGCCAAAGTAACTGGTTGTGCAGTAATGGAAGCATTTTTTTATTCTTTCAAAATTTTAGAGTATTTTTAGAATATATATAATTTTTTTTTCTTTTGATTTTTTTGAGACAGGTTTTCTTTGTGTGACAACCCTGGCTGTCCTGGACTCCCTTTGTAGACCAGGCTGGCTTTGAACTCACAGATATCTGCCTGCCTCTGCCTCCCTGAGTGCTGGGATTACAGGCGTGTGCCACTGAATCTGGCAGAACATTTATATTTATGTGTATGAATTTTTGCCTGCATGTATGTATGTGGACCACATTCTTGCTTGGTTCCTACGCAAGCCAGAAGAGGGTGTCAGACCCCTTGGAACCAGAGTTACACATAGTGGAAAGCCAACATGTGGGTGATGGGAACTGAACCTAGGCCCTCTGAAAGAACAACAAAGTGCTGTTAACCAGTGAGCCATTTCACCAGTTTTTCATTGTCTTCAAATGTTTTTCAATTTCTGAGTATCTGTGTGTTCCTGAGTGCATATCCGTGCACCCTGTGTGCACAATGCCAGAGGAGGCCAGAAAAAGGTGTTAAATTCCCTGTAACTTAAGTTACAGATGGATGTGAGCAAGTATATGGGTGCTGGCAATTGAACCCAGGTCCTCTTGAAGAGCAGCCAGTGCTCTTAACCCCTGAGTCAACTCTCCAGCTCCCTCTTTCATTCTTTTAAAGATTTACTTATTATTTTATGTGTATGGGTGTTTTGCAGGCATTTATAGATGAGTACCATATGTGTGCAGTACTCTCAGGGGCCAGAAGAGGTTGTCGGTTCTCTGGAACTGGTGTTACATATGGTTGTTGTTGGTGCTAGGAACCCAAGAGCAGAAAGTGTTCTGAACTGCTGAGCCATCTCTCCAGGCTCTCATTCTTTTATTCTTAAAATCATTATAGTGATTTAAAGAAGGATTTTCATTCTTTGACAAGTTCATGTATGTAAAATGTTTTGATCATATTCATCTTTTAAAAAAGTTTACCTATTTTATGTATACGAGTATACACCTGCAGCCAGAATAGGACATCAGATCACATTGTAGATGGTTGTGAGCCGCTGGGAATTGAACTCAGAACCATCTAGGAAGAACAGACAGTGCTCTTAACCTCTGAGCCATTTCTCCAGCCTGATCAGACTCATGATGCTCTCTTATCCTGTCCCACTGCCTCTGGAATCCCCTCCTCCCAACACATTCCCTTCCTAATTTCCTCTTTCTTTTTAAAAAATAACTGAGTTTAATTAGAGTTCCTTGCATGTACATGGGTATGGAGTTATTTACTATGTCATGGATAACCTTCCACTGACTACACTTAAGAAAACTGACTCCCATTTTCCCAGTAGCTATCAACTGTGTGCCTTCCTCCCCCCCTTCCCCAACACACACACACACATTGTATTGTTGACAGAGACTGTCTTATGCAGGTCTTTTAACCACAGTCTCTGTGAATTCATGATTGCAATTGCAATGTCATGTCCACATGACTGCATTTACAGATCTCTTCATCCTCTAGTCCTAACCTTCATGTCCCCACATTCCCTGAGCCTTGGGATATGGGTGGGGGGGAAGTCTACATGATTCTTTTTCTTTTTGTACATTTAAGAATATTTTTATTGCTGAGCCTTTAATCACAGCACTCAGGGAGGCAGAGGCAGGCTGATCTCTAAGTTCCAGGCCAGCCTGGTCTACAAAGTGAGTCCAGGACAGCCAAGGCTACACAGAGAAACCCTGTTGTGAAAAACCAACCAACAAACCAAACAAGCAAACAAACAAAACAATAAAGGCTGGAGAGATGGGTCAGCAGTTAAGAGCACTGTCTGCTCCCCCTGGGGTCCTGAGTTCAAATTTCAGCAGCCACATGATGGCTCATAACCATCCATACTGGGATCTGATGCCCTCTGCTGGCTGCAGGTGTACATGCAGACAGAGTACTCATATACATTAAAAAAATATTTAAAAAAAGAATCATTTTCTTATAGTCAACAAATCTCCTGTCTTGCTAGTCCTTAAAAGGGGTTTCAAGTACGTAAACAGGCATACATTACATGTGTAGAAAAAAAAGTACCCAAAGTTTGCATTAATCCTGACATCTAGTCTGTAAACAAAATATTTTATCACTGAAATGTCTGTTTAATACATGCTTATTTATTTTGAAACATATATAATCAAACTCTTCCTTTAATTTTAAAATGCTGTTGAGCATAACATTTTCCAGGAAAGTGAGCTTAACACTTAGATGGAAATCTGTAAGATACATATGCAAAGTATACAGTATCTTCTTAGAAATCATACCTATAACAAGAGATGATTATTAAAAAGAAAAAATGGTGAAGGCCAGTGTGGTCTACAGGGTGAGTTCCAGGACAGCCAAAGCTACATAGAAAAACCCTGTCTTCAAAAACAAACAAACAAAAAAAAAAGGTTATATATTTGGAACTTGATGTACCCTGGTCAAGCTCTGTGTTATAGTTCTCAGAATCATAACTGACTTAAAAGTGATATCATCTGGTAGTAACTTTTCAAGTCAAATAAATGTATTTGCATAAAAAAACAAGGGTGGGACTTCAAGATGGCTCAGCAGGTAAAGGCAACGAGCCTTCAGATCTGAGTTAGAGACTCCTCAGCATCCCCAAGGTGAAAGGAGAGAACTTGAGACACCAAAGAATTAAAAACTGGCTTTTTGGGTTATTGGATTAAAGTTTAAAGCACAAGCCTGAACAAAGGCCAGACAGGTGGAGACATGTCCAGCTACCTGCAGGGAGGAACCAGCCTTACTGCATTCTTTTCCTGCCCACTAGAGATAGTTGCTAGGAAACTGGCCCAGATGCCCCTCTACCCTAGGACAGCCAAACAAGGGAAGCCAGACAGTTAATGGCACCCCACAGCCAATCAGTTCAAAATGCAACATCCCCCTTTGGGTTTCAACCAACAGACGCTTGCTAGGCTGGATTTCCCCTGCTTTGGGTGTACTGGGAAGGACTGAATCACCCACCTACCCTGAGCTCCGGGCTCTACTCTCAACTACTGAGAGGTGAGGGTGTGAGCCCAAGCTCTAGCTTCAAATAAAGAGATTCTCATGTGTTCTGCAACAGACACAACTCTTGGCAGTATTTTGGGGGCTTGTGAATCTGGCACAACGTACTGACCTCCCAAAATTTATCCTCTGATCTAGACACACTCAAACACACAGAAATACGTTAAAATAAATAAGATGTAACTTTTAAAAAATACATGGGGTTGAGATGTACAGGAGTTGGATAGCAAGGATGGCCAAATATGCATCTTGGAGGTTAGTCTAATGCTAATTACTGGCCCTCTGGGTAAACCTGTTTAAGTCATTATATCTGATTGGCTAATTAAACAGCTTGTACCTGTAGGGAAGAATGGGGTAGGTGTGGCTAAGGTTCTAGGCTTTGGAGAAGCCCAAGAAGAATCACAGGAAGGACAAACAGACCGAAGGAAGAGGATGCCAGGATGTGTTAGCCTGGAGAAAACACCACATGGGCTGAGGAAGGACTCCAGTAATGGCGTGAAAAGGCCCAGATGAAGAATATAAGCAAGTAACATGGGATTATGGATAGAAGGTAGTCCAATTGAGGAGAATTAAGGTGGATGGCATGGGATGGGGGATGGGAGGTGGATGGTGAGGATATTGAGACAGTGTAAGTGAAGTATCTGCCCTGCCCAAGGTAAATGAGGAAATTATAAACCTATCAGGTGTTGTGTCTCATTATTTGTGATAGCCAGTTAAGTAATACAATCAATAATACATAGCCCACACTATTTTTTCACTACAACATGTGCACAGAATCCTGGGTTTGATCTCCAGCACACCATAAAACAAGCATAGTTGCACACTCCTGTGACCTCCTAGCATGTGGGAGGTGCCAAGAGATTCAGAAGTTCAAGGTCATTTGGAGCTACATAGTGAGTTCTAGGTGCTCACTAGCATTTCTAAAAACATTGGGTGTTGTGGCACTCATCTTTAATCCCAAAACTCAGAGGGGAAGTCAGGCTTCCCATTTCTGTGAGTTTGAAGCCAGCTTGGTCTATACAGTAAGTTCCAGGACAGCCAGGAATATGTAGACAAATCCTGTCTCAAAGCAAACAAAAAAGTAGATTTCCTAAGAAGAAAAACTGTGTCTCCAAAGACTTTTCTTATCTATGTTGGAATGTTGGTTGGCTTGGCTTGATCTTGTTCAAGTCTTGTGCCAAATACAACATGGGAGGGCAAAGTCAGCCTACTAGTTATAGGCAAAGCTGGAGTCCCATTGATTCAGGAAACTAAGGCAGAGTTCTTTGATCTGAGGAGTTTGAGGCTAGCTTGAGCAATACAGCAGACTCCATCTGTTAAAAAAAAAAAAAAAGAGGAAAGAAAAAGTCAGTGGTGGGCAAAGGACAAGAAAATAGCAGCTGGATGCATCCATAACTCACTTAAGTACAGACTGATGATTCACACCAAAGGTCCAGATAGCAACTAGTATAGAAGGAAATCTAGTAGAATCATTGTGCCTAGAGTAGAAGTTAGAATGAAGTTGTTTTCTAGAAGTACTTTGACCATGAACTCATTGTAGAAAACAGTGTTTTGTTTTGAGACAGGGTTTTTCTATGTAGCCTTGACTATCCTGGTCTCAAACTGTAGACCAGGCTGGCCTTGAATTCAGAGATCTGCCTGCCTCTGTCTCCGAGTGCTAGGATTAAAGGTGTGTGCCACCACCAAACAGCAGAGATTTATTTATGTGTAAGAGTTTTCTATGCATGTATGTCTGCACACTAGAAGATGACATCAGACTCCATTATAGACAGTTGAGAGCCACCTCGGAGTGCTGGGGATTGAACCCAGGACCTCTGAGAGTGGCCGGTGTCCTCAACTGCTAAGCCATTTCTCCACTCCTCCAGTGGGTTTCTATTATACCTACAGAGTTGTTTTTCTGAAGAACTTTTGCATGACCTTGGTCATAAGACAGTCAGTACTAGCATACCTGGAATTCTTACATTATTTAGTACTGTACAGAGTCTACAATAAGGACTGAAGTTGCAGGGGTGCAACCTCAGGAAGCATATAGATTAGATTGGGATATCTGGTGTGAGGGACTCCGTTTAGCCCCCCTACTTCTCTTCCCCAAAAACCTTTCTCTATAAACAATCAATCCCTGGATGCCTGCAAGGACGTATTTCATCCTGGAGTGACCCTTTCTTTGATCAGCTCGTGAGACTCAGACAACTGACAAACCAAGAGTTTGAAACTCTCACGCTCTCCACTTTAATTTTTTTCTTTTTTTATTAGCAGGTGGTGGTGGCAGCACAGACCTTTAATTTCAGCACCTGGGAGGCAGAGGCAGGCAGATCTCTGAGTTTATGGCCAGTCTGATCTACAGAGTGAGTCCAGGACAGCAAGGGCTGTTACACAGACAAATCCTGTCTTGGAAAAATATATATACATTTTTGCATTTACTTAAAAAAATTTTTTTTGAGGGGGCTGGAGAGATGGCTCAGAGGTTAAGAGCACTGGCTGCCCTTCCAGAGGTCCTGAGTTCAATTCCCAGCAACCACATGGTGGCTCACAACCATCTATAATGAGTTCTGGTGTGCAGGTGTACATGCAGGCAGAACACTACATACATAATAAATAAATAATTAAATAAACGAATAAATAAATAAATAAATAAATAAATAAATAAATAAATAAATAAATAGGTAGGTAAAGAATTTTTTGAGATGTATTTACTTGTGTGTGTGTACATGTATGGGTGTGTATGAGCCATTGTACGCATGTGGATTTTACCACTTGGGCTTTGGAGGTCTAACTCAGTCAACAGGCTTGACAGCAAGCATTCTTCCCACAAAAAAACACAACTTCTAAAGATTCATAATTCTTCCTGGGCCATCAGGGCCACCAGCGCTGCCTGCACCTCATCTGCCTGAGTTCGGGGTAGCAGGCAGTCCTGAATGAGGGCCACTGCAGCTGCTTCTGTCAAGCAGCTGAAGTCCTGGGCTGTTTTGACAGGCAGGTGGCCAGCCAGTTCACAGAGTGCAACATTGAAAGCCCCACTTTCCTTTATTCCAAAGCTGGACTTGCGGGCCCACAGAATGACTCTGATGCCCGTGCGATCTGAGGATGACGGTGCCGGCCCGGGTGGAGTTCCCCGGGTCACAAATAAGTTATGTGCGATGTCATGGTCACTCAGGTAATCCGTAGCCCTGCATACCCTGCTAATCAAGGCTTCCAACTCAGGCCCTGGACCGGTGGCGTAAAAGAGGAAGCCGGGAGCTGGGAGCGTCTGCAGCAGGTGTATACAGCCCTTTGGGTCTAGGGGTGTGCTTGGCGCACCCTCCACAGGCAGTGGGTGGGCCAGGTAGTAGCCATGCAGGTGGAGATGGTTCACAGAGGCCAAACCTCCCAGGCTGTTGAAGCCAACCCGGAAGCCGGGGTGCGAGCTCAGTAGCACAGCTTCAAGCCCGGCCCGCAGCACTCCCCGCAGCAGGCGCTGGGGGAGCCCAAGAGCAGGCTCAGGCACCAGCAGTACGTGACCCCACTCCAGCGGACTGACATTGATCACCACAAGGATGTCCTCTTGCTTTGGAGCAGCCGGGCCATTAGGCTGCCTTTGCAGACGGAAGAGAACTTCTCCGGGTCGGATTTTATTGAAGTTAAACTGGTCGGGGTCAAACTCCTGTCTCACACTTCTGATATTCTGGGGGCACCTCCTCTGTACCCCTCGCTCTATATTCAGCTGAGCTACAAATCCCACGGAACCAGGCAGGATTTGGGTCTGCAGATCTTCTAGGCAGTATCGAAACAGGCCCAGTTCCACCCGCTGCCTCCACGCAGAGCGGAGGGCAGAGTCGAAGCGGGACAGTGGAGGCGTGTCCAGGGCACTGGGTGAATTCCTTGGCCACTGAATTCCCTTCCCTACGAGGTCTTTCTGTCCGTAGACAAAGTCAGGGATGCCTTGTTCTTCCCAGTCCTCAGGGTTCGGAGGCAGCAGATAGGAAGTTTCCTGTGAATCATGTGGAAAAGCCATGAAGGCTACCTGAAACAGTCAAGAGATGAAAAGTACGTAAATACAGAGCAGCCCATTTCCAGAGATTATTCTTGGGTAATATTTTTACTCTGATTATAAATTGACAGGGCTGGGAGGTGGTGGTAAAAGCCTTTCCAGCACTTGCGAGGCAGAGGCAGGTGGATCTTTATAAAGTTTGGAGGCCAGCCTGGTCTACAGAGCACAGGACAGCCAAGGCTACACAGAGAAACCCTGTGTTGAAAAACAAACAAGAAACAAACAAAAAAGGTAACAGGAATCTGTCACCACACCTCAGAATATTAAGGAAGTGAGTATTTCCTGCTCACAGCCAGGCAAAAGGATGCCAGGTCCTTAAAATCAAGAACAGGGATACTGTAATATTCAAGGTTCTACGAAGCAGGTACCTTTACAGCCTGGTCATCACAGATAAGGAGAAGGCACAGACTGGAGCAGTCCCTTCCATCTAGTTTGGAAGAAAAGGAACTGAAATGAACCAGACCCCCTCATTCGGACTGTGTTATGAATCCTGGAAAGTAAAAAAAAAAAAAAAAAGTAATAGGTAATATGTAATTGTGGTAAAATATTTAGAAAACAGACATCGTTCATAATTCCATCATTTGAGGGTGATTTTACTGAAGTAAAAATATATTTAGGGAGCAGGAGAGACGGCTCAGGGTTACTTGTCCCAAAGTCTGACAACCTGAGTTTGCGACTCCAGATCCACATGGTAGAGAAAAAGAGCTAACTCCTGCAAGCTGTTCTCCGATCACCATGTATGCACTTGCTCACACATAAATACATATAATGAAACACATATGGAGCTGGGTGTGATGGCACATGCCTTTAGTCTCAACACTCAGGAGTTACGTAGTTTTTTTGAAGCTAGAGATGATGGTGTGTTGCTTTTAACAAAATGTTCAATTTTACCAATGACGATTCAGGAGTCAGATGCTGGGGTAAAAGCCTGCCAGCTCAGAGAGGCAGAGAAAGCGCCCAGCTGACCTTCCTCTTCAGCCGATGTCATAAAAGCTCTCCTTCCCCATGCTCTCAAACTGACTGTCCCTCCCTTCTTCCTATGTCTATCTCTATACGTCCACTGACAGCGTGCTCAAACATCCTGCCGCGGCACTGCGTACATAAGAGATCTCAGCACTCAGGAGGCAGAGGTGAGAGAAGCTCTGTGGGTTCAGAGGCCACCAGCCTGGTCGACATTTTGAGTTCCGGGGCAGCCAGGACCACACAGAGAGACCCTGCCTCAAAATAAATTTATAAACACACAGAGAAAAGGAACTCTGAAAAAACAAATGTGGAGAAGCTGGCAAGATGGCTCATCAAGTAAACGCACTTGCTGCCAAGCCTGAGGACTGCAGCTCTGTACCCTGAACCTGTGTGGTAGACAGAACAGACCCCTGCAAGTCCTCTTAGCGTCACGTTTACAAAGTGGCGTGAGCCACACAAGCCAGTAAGTGTAAATCTAAAGGCAATTTTAAATAAGGTAGAAACTGACCAAAGAAGACGCTTGGCACCTTGGGCCTCCAACACAAACAGCGTACACACACTCACACCACACACCCACTACACACCCACTTAGAAAACAGTGTACGCTCTGAAGAGGCTGGAGAGATGGCTTAGTGGGTAAAGCAGCTTGCAAAGGTGAAAAGCTGAGTTCGAATCCCCAGGACCCAGGTGAATATTGAACGTGCTACCTGGCTGCAATGACAGCGCTCCTACCATGAGACGGAGGTGGAGACAAACACCCAAGATGGTCCTATGACCTCCACACGTGTGGCAGGTGCTCATGGACACACGAGTGTGTGTACACACACATTTACACAGGTATCATACACAAAGACCATCTCTCTATCTGTATATACATATATAGAGACAATCTCTCTCTCTATGTATATATATCACATATATACATATATAATTTATTTTTTGAGGGCTGGGGATGGAGCTCAGCTGGAGGACTACTTAGCATATACATAGTCTTGGGTTTGGTCCTCATGACTGAAGAGTGGTGGCACATGCCTGTGAACCCAGCACTTGGGAGGTGAAGACAGGCAGATCGGAAGTTCAGCATCAACTATGTAGTGAATCTGAGGCCAGCGTGAGCTACAAGAGATCCTTTCTCAAAAAAATAAAATAAAAATTAGACTGAGGGTCAGGGGTGGTGATGCATGCCTGCAACTCCAGCATTGGTGAGGCTGTCAGAACCGCAACTTCATGTCCAAATGGGCTAAACAGTGAGAAGCTGCATGAGAGAGAGGAAGGAGAAAAGGTAAGGAGGGAGGGAGAGGGACAAACCAGCTCAGCCTAAGTTTGGTTTCCCTCAGCTTTGCTGTTTCAGACACTCATACTAGTAAGCCAGAAAAAAGAAAATACATAAAACTATTTAATCTCTTAAGTCGTTTTTAAAAGATCCTTCCACAGGAGTCGACTAAGACTATTGGAAAACACAGAAATTACATAATGATTCATAACTTGCACAACTAGTCTGAAGTAGCAATGAAAATAATTTCATGGTTACTGAAGGATCCCAGCATTAGGAAGAGTGAGAACCACTGTTCTAAAGGAACGGAACTGATGAATATATAAGAGGGGATTTATTAGATTGGTTTACTCCATATGGTCTGGGAAGACCAACAATGGTAGTTGCTCAGTCCACAAGGATGATTTCTCAGCAGTTCCAATCTGGTGCTGAACGCCTGGATAGTTCCTGAAGAGCTGCTGGTCTTCAGTTTGAGCCAGAAGCTGGAAGAAGTTGATTCTAATGTCAGCAAAGGAACTGCATAGTGGTAGGAACTGGACAGACACTTATCAGCAAGCCAAGGCCAACAGGCCAAAAGCAGAGTTTCCTTCTTCCGTTTCTCTTGTGTGAGTTGCCATCTGAGGGCGCTGCGCAGTGGGTTCTCCCACTTCAAACAACCATATCAAGAAAACCCCTCACAGGAGTGCCCAGCAGTTTGCCTTCTACTTGACTTCAGATCCAGGCAAGTTGACCCGCCAAGATTAACTGTCCCAGAATCCACCTTTCCTCCTCCTAAGAGTTTGGAATCCTCACTTCTTCACGCAGTGTAAATCTGTTCATTCGTACATGCATCTGGTAATTATTTGAATGTCCTGGAGGTTGAAAAGAGAAAAGAGCATACAGACTAACCTTGGTCCCTGCGGCTGGAAGCTCGCACTTTGCGATAGGGTTCAAAGGAAGCTCGTCAGCAGTGACGATGAAACAGGCAGTGGGGATCTGCGGACAGAACCGAACGCCCGAGTCCCGACACATCACTGAAACCGGATCTATGTTTGTAAAATGGAAGCTCACCTGGTCACTTGTTCCACGGAGGGGCGATAAAGTGCACAATCCAGGAAACAGTTTCAAGAACCAGCAAGCCAAGCGCCGGTGGCGGGGCCGCGGCTCGGGTCCAGTCAGACAGTCTGGGATTGCCCCTCTCGGCAGAGAGCCACCGGACCTCCTCCAGCCCCGGTGCCAGCCTGAGTCCGGAGGTTACCCGCCCGCACATGGGGATGAGGTCTCCAGCTCATCCCCAGGCGAAGCGGACGCATCCCAAGGCTCTGCGCGCAGACGCACCAAGGAAGACAGCGAGGGCGTACCGTCTCCGACGCAGGCGCAGTCTGCACCACGCGCACGCGGCGTGGTCCGCCCCGCCCACTGGGAGGCGGGGCCATGAGGCCTGGGCCCCGCCCCGGCGCGTCCGGCTCCTCCCCGGGCCCTGCCTCCAGCTCGCCTGGGCCCGCGGGGAGCCGGGAGCTGGCCGGCTGAGCCTCGCCCAGGGTGCCAGGGCATCGTAGGCAGGGGCGGGCCCGGGGGCGGAGGCGGTTGCTGCGGGGACGGGGCGGGGACGCGGGCCCCGAGGACGGAAGTGAGAAAGTTGCCGGCGTCCCGGGGAGAGTTGGCCGAGCTGTGCGCGCACCGCGGCGATGGGAGGCTCGGGCAGTCGCCTGTCCAAGGAGCTGCTGGCCGAGTACCAGGTGCGCGGGGCGCCAGTTCTCGCGGAGCTCGCGTGCGGGCCCGCGCAGAGAAGTGGGGCTCGGGGAAGAGCAGGCGGCGGGGAGGCCGTAGCTTTCGGGCGACTTGCCGACCCTTGTCTGAATTTGCCTTTCAGGACCTGACGTTTCTGACCAAGCAGGAGATTCTCCTGTGAGTACTACCCTGACCCCCTCCCTCCACCTCGGGAGGATTGCCAAGGGTGGTGCTTTGGGGGTGCCCTTCTAGTGGGTGGGGGGCGGACCGGACACCTCCGACGGTGGGGCCGTGCCTCACCGGCATCAAGATCAGTGGATCTGGAACCGGAAGCCCAGAGTGCAAATTTTGCCTCCGGCCGGGCCTCAACTTTGCAGGATGCAAACACCTCTATGTATCCAGGAAAACTTGGTCTGTTTGAGCTCGGCTAGCCTACTCAGCCTCCTCACTGCCGAACTTCCTGCTCTCGTGGAAGGAACTGCCGCTCGGTGCGGACTTTGTCTTCTGGCAAAAACAAGAAGCCTTGAGTCTGGCTCGCTCTTCTCCCAGCTTTACCTGTTTAATTCAGTAACCGTTAACGTTTGCCCAGGAGGTGCTGAGTGATTCCCATGTTACTTAAATCTTCGGGAGGAGGTTCTAGAACAAGGAAACAGGTTTCAGAGAGTTCTGGTAGCATTATAAAGAACAGTGTAAGTGACTTGATGGCCAGGGCGCTCGAGTTAGGTTCCTGGTCTCCCCATGGCAATGAAATTCTAGGAGGAAAGAGCCGGTGACTGAAACAGGGTCGTTGTAGTGAAAATAACATTTTTTTTTCTCCCTGTTTTTTAGGGTCACTTAAAGCTCATTTTTCTTCTTCTTTTGCTGTCTTGGTTTTTCCAGACAGGATTTCTTTGTATAGCTCTGGCTGTCCTGGATTTACTTTGTAGACTAGGTTGGCCTCGAACTGAGAGATCCGCCGTCCTCTGTCTCTGAGTGTTGGGATTAAAGGCGTGCGCCACCATGCACTGTGCTATAGCTCCTTTCTTAACCTCTCCATTATTTTATTTGGAGTCTTTAAAATTGTAACTGTAATGTTAGGGTCCAGGAACTTAGTCCACAGGTGGTCTAACCAGCTAGGCTGGGCTACCTGCCTTCTGTAAACCAATTAAAGGGACAGTATTGAAAAGCAGAGAAAGGAAATGTATACAATGTGGCCACATTGGGAAAAGGAACAAAGAAGTCCAGTGACCAACCCCTCCCTCCAAGCCAGTCTTCATGACCAGCTAATGTGAGGTTTATATTTAAATATAAGGCAAGAGGTATGTATAACTGAGCAGTCCTAGTCAAGATGCAGGTCCCCCCCCCACCCCATCATGGTCTCAGCTCTAGTCTCTTATGAAAGGTGATCTGACAAATTAGTAGAACCCTGTGAACTCTCTTCCTGGTAGATGTTTCCTGCTTCACTGACAAGAGGCTTCATCCTTCTCAAATGAGATTACTGGGGAATTCCAATTTCTTGGGGCCCATTGTTTCTGTAGTCTGAAAGCCAAAGGGACTATCTATAGACATCACAGATAGCTCTAAAATACCTTTTTCCTGCCAGAACCATTACAAAGAATGCCTGATACTGAAAGGGAAAGTGTCGGCTCAGGACCCCCAAGACCAAGTTCTCAGCACAAAGAAGATTTATTTGCCTCAGAGGGACAGAGGGCAGGGAATAAGAGGCAAAGACAGGAGACAGAGGATGAGAAAGAAGGGGAAGGAAACAAGGGGAAGGAATACTTGTCCAGTAGGATAAAAGACTGTCTCTGGATAGAGGAAACATTTGTGACACACAGGAAAATGGCAGTTTATAAAGGTAAAGATTGGGCATGTTAATTAGGTGAACCAAAGGGGGCTTTGGTTGCTGGACTTCAATAGTTTGATAATGGGACTTTGGTAGTCTGCCCTAGGAAGATGAAGTAGCCAAATAAGAGAATAGACCCTGGGGGCTAGCTTTAGGAATGTAGGTTTTTAGCAAGTCAGAAGGAAGAGAGGAGAAAGGCAAAGCCTGCCAGAGCCATGCTCCCCATGCTTGCCATGGTTAGAGTCCCTTCAGATACTGTGTCTCCTCCATAAATACCCACCCTAAGAAGGGGCTCCAAGCTTCTGTTGTTGTGTGACTTACCGTTCTGGCTGAAGATTGCCTCCTGACTGGAAGCCCTAGGCATGTGACTTAGTTACACAGCTGGTTTACAGGGCATTCAAACTGCAGACTGTGGACATAGTAAACAGACTGATGGCCTGAGGGCGCCACTGAGTTCCCCTCTCTCCGCCAGAGCCCACCGGCGGTTTTGTGAGTTGCTTCCCCCGGAGCATCGGACCATGGAGGAGTCACTGCAGGCCCGAGTGTCATTTGAGCAGATCCTCAGCCTTCCAGAGCTCAAGGTTCAGTCCTCCACCCACTGTGTCCACCCTGTGTCTGCTGCAGTCCCTAACTCTTCCTGCTGTTCCAAGTGATTGTTACGCACGTGTGCCACCACACCCTGACTTTATTTTGATAACATCGATGATGATATGTAATTGCTGTGTGTGGCTATATACACATGTAAGGGCCAGTGCCTGTGGAGCACAGCAGGTTTTGGATCCTCTGGTGCTGAAGTTAGAGGCGGTTGTGAGCTGCCCATCATAGGTGCTAGGAAGTGAACTGGGGTCCTCTCTAAGAGCAGTAGTGGCTTAATCAGGGAGTCATCTCTCTGGTCCACTCTTCCCTTTTTAAAACAACAGTTCTGGGGACTGAATGCATATTTCATAGGGGAGTAAAATTATGTTTATATGGCAAGCACGTTACTGACTGAGCGAACCCACTATTTCTTCTTTTCTGATACGGATTTTACTATGTGGCCTCCACTGGCCTTGAACTCACTTCAGTCCTCCTTTGCCAGCCTTATGAGTACTGGTGTTACAGGTATGCATCACCGTGCCCAGCTTGCTGTGAATAATAACTGTTTTTTGTTTTAGTTTTCCCCAACATAGGGTTTCTTTTTGTAGCCATGGCTGTCCTGGAACTCGCTCTGTTGACCAGGCTGGCCTTGAACTCTTAGAGATCCACCTGCCTTTGCCTCCTCAGTGTTGGGATTAAAAGTGTGCACCATAACACCTGTGTGCTGTGAAATTTTTAAGCAAAGAGCCTGGCTCTGTAGCAAAAGAATTGTCTGATTAAGTCTACTTTAAAATGACCAGCTTGCTGTAGCCAAGTAGCTTAGCAGAAAAAAACACTTGCCTTGTGCCAGGTGGGGTGATACACAACTTTATTTCCAATGCTTGGGAGGCAGAAGCAGGCGTATCTCTGTGAGTTCAAGGGCAGCCTGTTCTATAGGGTGAGTTCCAACAGAGCTAGGGCTACAGAGAGAAACCTTGTCTTGAAAAATAAAACAAAAAACCAATTGCCTTGTAAGCCCTCGGACCTAAGTTTGATCCTTGGAACCCAGGGTAGAAGAGACTTGACTATGGAAAGTTACCCTGTGCCTTGCTTAGCATGCCTTCCTTCTGCTGTGACTCCACTTGTGATGTGCCTGGGGTAGACCTCCGGGAAGCATCCCTGGCTGGCCTACTGCTCCCTCGTGTGCCTCCGTGTGCTGGCCTCAAAAGTCTCCCCGTTGAGTCTGAACTCCATGGTGCTACTGTAGTCAGCTTCCTGTAGTCCCCAGACGGGAATCAATCATCTGGTGCATGCCTGTAATCCAGCACTTGGGAGGTAGAGGCAGGAGGATCGGGAGTTTGAAGCCAGCCTGGGTTGATGAGACCCCCGCCTCAAAAGAAGAGATGGCTGAGTATGTAACCCAGGCTGCCCTGTGACAATCACAGAAAGGCTTTCTTACCTAGGCCAACCCGTTCAAGGAGCGAATCTGCATGGTCTTCTCCACGTCCCCCACCAGAGACAGCCTGAGTTTCGAGGACTTCCTGGACCTCCTGAGCGTCTTCAGTGACACAGCAACCCCAGACATCAAGTCACACTATGCCTTCCGAATCTTTGGTAAGCACCCTAAGAACTGCTGGACCCCGCTCCTTCCCACACAGGAAATGGGGCCAGTGTGCCTGTGGAATGCCTCTTGAGCATGCCCCGTTGCTCCCTGTCTGCTGCCTAGACTTCGATGATGATGGGACCCTGGACAGAGACGACCTGAGTCAGCTAGTGAACTGCCTCACAGGAGAGGGCGAGGACACTCGGCTCAGTGCATCTGAGATGAAGCAGCTCATTGACAATGTGAGCTGGGCCCGGGGATGCTGGGTGGGCAGGGTTGAGGCTGAAGTCTAAAGCCCTCCCTTTCCCAGATCTTGGAAGAGTCGGACATTGACAGGGATGGGACCATCAATCTCTCCGAGTTCCAGCATGTCATCTCTCGCTCACCGGACTTTGCCAGGTGTGATAAGCGCTCCCTGTACTCTGATACCCATCTACTCTGAGATATTATTATAAGGATGTGTCAGGATATTCTTCCAGAGTGGATACAGGGATCCTAGCCTACTCCATTTTTGTTTTCTTGAGACAGGGTTTCATGTAGCTGAGACTGACCTTAAACTCCACCTGCCTCTACCTCCCATTACTGGTATTAAAGGCAGGTGACACTGCACGTAGCGTAGACTTCTGATCCCCTGGCCT